TCATCAGATTCTCATAGGTAGTCCTAATCCATAAAAAAGTTAAGAACTACTGTTATATAAAGATAAGAAATATAAGAGGCAAAAATCCTTCTTAAAACCAGTTTACCCTGGAGAAAACTTGATGCCTACCTAATGTTTGGTGCTCAATCTAGATCTACTGAATAAAGGACAGAACCCAGGACCCATTATCCTAAGAGCAGCCTTCACAGGGACCTGCTTATGTCCGAAGTGAAATTAGCGTTGACCTCTCAGTACTTTTTTCTTTTTAAATGCACGAAAACAGCATAGGAACTGTCATGAAAATAAAACCTGGCCTCCTATATGCCTGGAGCCTAAAAGAAATCAAGACAGGCCAATCAAGCCCATAGGGCTAATGTACATTTAATGTATGCACATTCATGTTCCTCTCTCCTGTTGCCGTTTTATTTCTTTTTGACCTAGGTGAGAATTTGATCGTGATATACACAGTTTTGCAGATTTAGGCAGAAACAAATACTAAAGCTGAAAATACAATGTGCTTGCTGTGGCTTAATAATTTTTAGAAAACCAAAAATAACCTATTTTCTGACTTGCTTTGTTTTCTCCTAAGAACCCTGCTGCCTCCTCACCTCCTCCCCAGGCTCCTGGCACTGGGTGTCCATCACTCCTTTCTCTTCTGCCCTTCCGAAAACCCTCACACAGGAGTGGGAGAAAGTTGATATACCAAAGACGCAGATTATTGGAAGGGAGAGGAAATCACGATGTCATTAATGGGGCCTCACTGTAAAATTCTGGAGACATGGGACTTTTCCAGTGAATTTTGACATAGCAGTATCATCCCCAAATGGAAACACATAGTTGAAATTTAACAAGCCTCCATGAATGATCACAGAGGGCAGAAACTATGGCCAGCTCACACTAGGCAGCATGCAGTCCACCCACATTTATTCACCATGATTCAGGAATTTAGGGAGCAGAGCCAAGAACAAAGCAGGGCACTGAAAGGAACATGGAGTCAGGACCCCCAAGACTGGGCCCTTTCTTTCCCACAATGCAATGTTCGGTCCCCCCATGCTCAGAGACACAGGTAAAATGAAGTCAGTCAAGTAAAAACCGTGACAGAGTAACAGTGAGGGGAAGGAAAGAAAGCTGAATCATGCCACACTGGAAGAGGCTGCAAAGGGGAAAACCATGGGCCGACATGCCGGGGAGGCCAGGTTTCCTCTATCAACATCCACGGAGGGGGGAAGGGAGGGAAACAGATTTCCCAGCAGTGTGGCAGGTCTTGGCACCCGGCTCGGTTCCCCTGCCGAACTTCCACAAATAAACATCAGAGTCGAAGGGACAGAGTTGCTTCTCAGCAAGATTTCAAAGCTATTCACAGGAGTCAGAGAAAAAACAGGAAGGATTTAGTCGAGGGAGGAGGAGGAGGAGGAGGAGGGGCATGCTCACCTCGGGCCAGATCAGATGGGAACCGTCCCAACCCCTCTCCCGAAACTGACACACCATTTCTTATGAGGTGTGAAACGTTTCAGGTAGTGTTGGCAGTCACGATACTGTGGGCCCAGGTCTGAGCTGCTGGGTTTCAAGCTGGGGGCGGTAAGCCTGAAAGATCGCAGGGGAAGACAAGGTCTTTCAACTCTCAGCCGAGGTGAAACCAAGAGGGGCTAAACGTCCCTGGAGAAAATGCAACCACCCGGCTGCTTGTTTCTTTCACCAAGGTCACTGGGCAGCCAATGTGAGTGTGCATGTGTGTGTATCTATGCGTATGCGTGTGTGTGTACACGTGTGTGCTTGTGCGCTTGAATGTGTGTGAGTATCCGTAAGGAGATGGGTGGGGTGGAGTAAGGTCATGGTCTTGTATTTGGATTATTTGAAGATGACAACACTGACTCAGACTCCAAGGGGCCGAGGAAAAATACAGCTGGCCCCAGTTGGTGTGTAAAACCCCCAAAACCTCTGATTCCCTCAGCTCCCGTGGTTCCCAGGGCTGGAGGTTGCGCCCCCATCCTCCACACACATCCCCAGCTCCTTACACAACAAGGGCAGGTGCCTTCACAGTGGTTTACTGGGATTGTCCCTCTTTCTTTGTTAAAGAACACCGACTTGGCATTTAATAAAACCTTATTTATACACTGGCTTATGTGCTATGAGAAAACAGTCCAGGAGGACAGAAGGCCCAGCATTCCCCACGCTGGAGTTCAGCGTGGCTGCCTGCCAACCAGCTGCAATAACAGCCTCGACCCAGAGAGGCCCTGGCCCCTGGCCTTAGAGCAGCCCCTGCCTCCCCAGTGCCCCTCTTGGAGGGTGGGGGTGGGGTGTGCCCTGAGCCTTTCTGTGCTGCCTCGGGGTTGTTTTTCTAAAAAACACAGATAGGATGGGTACAGGAGTAAGAAAAGCAAAAATCCTGTCTTAATGTCTATAATTTCTTTTAGGTTTCCTTATTAATAATTAAAAAAAATGTTTAGCCCCTTTGTCCATTTGTCAAACAGAAAGCACATTTGAAGGGCACTGGACTGGGCGTTTGTCCTCTTTGCTTGGGGCCCATGAGTCCTGTATTGTTCTGGCCTTTCCCCCTAGAGATGAGCAGGAGTAAGAAGGTGGCGGGTGGGGCAGTCCTCTAGGCCGTCTCCCTCTAGGTTTCTCCTCTAGGCCATCTCTGGGGGCACTCACTGGCTTCACAGGGAAAATGGCAGACAGGATGTGTCTCACAGCACCCTGGTCTTACGGGTGATCAGATGAAAGTGCTTCAAAGCCTTAGAGGCATTTGGGGTGATATTATTACTACTATGCTTGCTCTGAAGAGATTGAGACTGTACATCAAACTCCTGTGTTCTAGGCCAGTAATTCTCAACCCTGGCTGGAGATTGGAATGACCTTGGGAAGCTTTGAGAAATACTAAGGGTCAACTGAATCAGAATCTCAGGGGGTGGGAGCGGAGCATTCACAGTCTTTGACAGCTCCCCAGGTGATTCACTGTGCAGCCTGGCTGGGAACAATAGATCTAGGGCCCAAATGTTGGCATTTCTAAGCTGCTCTCTGTGGCATGGCCTGTTTGCTAACGGAGAGTTCAGTGAGGGTGGGAGGGGCATGCTTGGAGCCTTGGCCTCAGCACATGCCTGGCACCTCACGGGCGCCCAGTTCAGGTTCAAGGGCATGGACACATGCACAGAGGCGGTGAGCAAGACTGCAAAACCTGTCTCAGGTCAGTGAGGGTGACTGGCCAAAGTTCTCGTCTGGTTTCTGAACTCGAGCACTTGCCAGAGCAGCATGTAAGGGCAGAAAGACTTTCTGGTCTTTCTTGTCTGATAACTAAATATCCTGAAGCCAGTGTTTGGCTCTCTTTCCTAATGAAACAGTTTTACTCAGGTCCCCCTTTACCCTGCTACTTCCACAACTGCTCCCCAGAATAGCTGGTCGTATCACAAAGGTACAGTCACCTATCCCAGCAGCCAAGGTTCTTCAAAAAGAGATGTAAGACACTGCCGCTTTTCTAGTGACCAGAGGACTGCATGATCCTGGGTGCCCAGGAAACTTCCAACAGCTTTGTAAACACAGGTACTGGTCTCCTAGCTGTGCTGGTGTTCACTGCCCTGAATAAGGGATCTAATCACCTTACTTACTATTCTGTCTGACTCTGAAAACAAACCAAGGAGTGTGTCTGAAATTGGGTTCCTTTGGAACGTTGGACAGAGAAGTTTGAACCACATGGCTCTTTATTCTCCATGAAGCTTGGGGAGCCAAGAGACCTTTTCTGGGGTACTTCTTGGGTTCTCAGTGGCAGTGGCCTCCACAGGTCCCAACCCTGCTACTACCCTGATGCGCTGGGAACATTGTAGAGTAACCTTCTAAGAGAAAGTCACACTTTGAAAAGGGTGAAGTGTGAACACTGCCAGAAACTGAGCAGTCTTGTTTTATTTTGTTTCATTTAAAAAAGCCTTCAGCTTGCTTTTTTAAAACAAACAGAGTGGGTTTTCTGGGACTTGAGAGAGCAACCATAAAAAGGCAAAACACAAATTTCTCAACCAAGCTCTTAGTGACTGACATTCCCCACAACACAGTTCCAGAAATTAAATGTAGGCACAAGAAAAAACACAATTCAATACTGGAAATATTATATATGTCACTTCTTTGAAGGATGTTAATTTTGAGTGTTTCTTAAAGCATGACCTACAGCAAGCTACATCAGAATTACCTAAGGTTACAGGACGGGTTCTGGGCCCAGCCCCAGGTCTCCTGAATTGGTCTCCGGGGGTGGGAATTTGGAACTTGCATCTTTTACCAGCTTCTTGGATGATTTTCATATACTCTGAAGTATGAGAACCGCTGCTCTAAAACTCCCTTACATAATTACCTCTCGCCTTATTTTTCTAGCAAAGAAGAGATAGCAGGTCCCAAGAAGTGTGTCTGGGATGCAGTTCTGGAATAGGGTTGAGCTAGATCAGGGCTTTGCACATTTTTGAAACTATGAAATTTTCTGTTATTTTTTTTCTACTCAGAAACAGTGTCTGTTCTACCCAAAACAGACCCAGATGAGGGAGCGTCACGCTCCCATTTATTGAAATTGATTAAATGCTTTGCATATATTTTTTCATGTATCTTTTCCTAGCTCTCTATAAAGTATTACATTGTTTTATAGGTGAGTGATGGGGCCAGGAAAGCTCAACTATGTTGCCCACGATCACCTAGCTGGGAAATGATAGGGCAGGGAGTCAAACCATGCCTCCTTCTCCTTTCCACACTGCTAGGGGGTGGAGAGGGTGTATCCCACCTTTGGGGTGAACTCAGGCCTGCCACAACCACCTACCTCATGGTGAAGCCTGGGCCAATGCTGCATAAATGCTACTAGTCAGGATTCCCTGGGCCTTTGGAGCCTGGGGCTTCTTCCTCAAGGACGGTCATGAACACCAGGCTTATGCTCTTCCCAACTGTCAATTCACAAGACTCCGGTGACCTGCAACTAGGCCCCACTGCCCCAGGAATTACCTTCCAGGGGGCAAGCAGCTCAATATCTCCCTTACCACACGGAAGAGCTTGAAGAAATCCACGTTGGCATACAGAGTGTCTTCCATCCACTGTAGGGTGCCCTGGGAGAGGGGGCACATGGCGTCACGTACTGTCCGGGCCCCCTGCCGCTGGCTGAAGATGACGAAGCGCTCCAGGAGGGCCTCACTGCAGGCAATATCCTTCAGAACCAAGTCTGGTACTCCGTGAGCAAACTGCAGGGAGGAGAAGCAACACTGGAAGCCTGCCTGTGATAGGAGAATACCAGCCCCCCAAAGATGTCTATGTCTTCACCCACAGAACCTGTGAATGCATTATGTTGCTTGGCAAGGGGGATTAAGATTGCAGGTGAAATTAAATTTGCTAAATCAGTTGACTTGAAGATAGAGAGATTATTTTAGATTAGCTGGGTGGGCCCCATGTAATCACAACTGTCCTTTAAATGTGGAAGAAGGAGGCAGAAGAAACAATGTCAGAGTAATGCGATGTGAGAAAGAAATTACTGGCCACTGCTGGCCTTGTAGATGAAAGGAAGCCAAGGGGTGTGGACAGTCTCTGACAAATGAAAAATGGATTTCCCTCTACACCACCATCTCCCGCCCCCAGTAAGGAACACAGCCCTGCCAACACCTTGACTTTCAAACTTCTGATCTCTAGAACCATAAGTTAATAAATTTGTGTTGTTTTAAGCTGCTAAGTTTATGGTAATTTGTTACAGCAGCAATGGAAAATTAATACATTCCCAAGCCACATTTTATCAGAGAGCCATTTCAAATTTGGGAGAGTCCTTTTTTTTTTTTTTTTAAGGTTTTATTGGGAAGTTGGGGGAGGGGAACAGTGTTGGGGAATTGGGGAAGGGGACCAGCCTAGTTGTTGTTCTTCAGTCTTCGTTGTGGAGGGTGCCAGTCACCACCTGGCTTCCTGTTGGCAGCTTGTGGCCTCTAAGCTCAATCTTAGTTGCAGGTGGGCATAGCCACCATCCCATGTGGGAGTCGAACCCGGCAGCCTTGTTGTTAAGAGTGCACGCCTTATCCACTGAGCCATCTGGGTGGCAGCGCAGCTCAAGGTGCTTACCGAGTTCAGTCTTAGTTGCAGGTAGGCATAGCCCACCATCGAACAGGCAATCTTGTTACACCAGCTGAGTCATCTGGCCACGTGTTGGCAGCTCAGCGACAGCTCAGCTCGGGTGCAGCATCACTGGCCCATGTGGGAATAGAACCAGCGGCCCTGTTGCTCAGAGCTCGTGCTCTTAAGCCAACTCTTAACCAACTGAGCCACTCAGCTGGCCCGGGAGATTCCCTTCTTAGCACACAATGCTGAAGTATTATCAGGACCTACTCCCTGAAGCTGAGGTGGGGGAGTAGCTAGAACGCATTTAGAGTTATGACGAATGACCAACCCCCCCCCCCCCCCCCCCCCCCGCTCCTTTCTCACCAGATTTAGCAAATAAAAGTACTGGACACCCAGTTAAATTTGAATTTCAGATAAATAATGAACATTTTTCAATACAAGTGTGTCCCAAATAAAGTCTAAAGGGGGCATGCTTATGCTAAAAAATTATTTGTTTATCTGAAATTTGAATTAAAGTAGGCACCCTGTATTTTATCTGATGACCCTAACAGCCCCTGTGGAGCTCATGGACGGTGGCTCTTGAAGGACAAACTCCATAATGGCCTCCAGAGGCTAACAAGGCCTCAACCCTGGCCAGGGACCCTTGGCCACCCAGCACAGTGACTGACCCCTGGAGTCCTGGGCGTCCAGCAGAGGACAAGACCCTGAGTACTGTGAACAGGTTCCCGAGCTTCCCTGGCTTCTGCAGTCTCCCATGGCTTCCAATTACACGGTCCCCCAGGCTGGGGAGCAGAGCAGGCCCAGGCTCTGCTACGCGCTGCGTGGAGACTGTCCAGATCACAGATGAAAGCCTGGTACTTAAATGAGGCACTGGTCATGGCTGACGCTGGGATAGTGTGGACTTCGTCCATCCCAGGGCACTGTCACTGGGTGCATATTCCAGCAGAGCCTTCCTGTGTTGCCCATATTTTACTTTTTATCTCCAGGCAAAATCCTACCCCCAAACCTAATTCCAGAGTCTGAAACATTTTGAGGTAAAGGGAACCAATGAGCCCATTTTGATCAAACCTCTAGTATTTCAGGGGAGAAAAGTGATGGAGAAGGGGTTAGGTGACTTGAGAAGGTTACACAGCAGGCTAGTGGTCACCCACTCATTCTTTCACTCAGGCTCACTCATTCAGCACGCGCTCACTGAGTTCCCATTCTGCAAGGATGAGGATAGTTACTGGGGATACAGAGAGAATAAGGTGAGTTTTAGGCTTCCCAAGGAGCTCACCGGCTAACTGGAAATGCAGGTGTATAAACAGCAGTAAGTGTTAGAATAGATATTGTGAAACCAGAGCACAGAAGAAGGGGGTTTAAGAATAGCTAGTAAAGGGCCGGCCAAGTGGCTCAGTTGGTTAAGAGCTCTTGGGAGCACCAGCTCTGAGCAGCAGGGCCGTGTTTGGGATCCCACATTAAGGGCCAGTGGCGCTGCGCCCTCTACAGCTAAGATGATGAACAACAGCTCGACCTGGGGCTGGGCTGCTGTGAGTCACTGGCAACAGCGTAAGCTGCAGCAGGGCTGCAGTGGGCTGCCATGAGCTACGTGAGTGGCTGGCAGCCAGCGTGAGAGGCTGGCAGCCGGCAAGAGCTGCTGTGAGCCGCAGAGAGCAGCCGACCAATGACTAGTGACCGATTGCCTCACCCGGGAAGAGCACAATGATCATACCAACATGGGCCAGGGAAGCGACGTCCTCCACAACTAGACTGAAGAACAAAAGGACAGCAATTTGTCTGTTCCCCTTCCCCCAATTCCCCAGCACTGTTCCCCATCCCCTAATTCCCCAAAAATCTTTAAAATAAATAATAATAATAGCTAGTAAAAATAGCTAGTATTTATTGTTTACTGTGTGTCAGACACTCTTCTAAGTACTTTACATGTATTAATTCTTTTAATCCCACAACCACCATATATGGTAGGAACTTTTTTTTTTTTGATCTGCACTTTACAAATGAGGAAATAGAAGCACAGAGTGGAGAATTAACTTGCTAGAGGTCACACAGTTAGCTACGTGGCCTTGCTGAGATTTGAACCTACAGCTTATGCTTAACCATTTACCTGTTAGCTCTTTGTTGAGTAGGGAAGAAGCAGAGGTCAGGTCAAAGAAAGGAGGGTTTATAAACAATTTAAGGAAGCAAGTCCAGGCGTTTACAGGGCTGGAGATGGTGGGTGGGGTGAGGGATGAACCAGAGAACGGTACCACTGTACCACTTCCATCGTCTAATAATCCCCTAGATGGGGAAAGATGCAATTTCCTTCTGAGCTGTGCTCAGACACTAGGCAGAAAGGACCAGGAGGAGTATCCAGTCTGATGGGAAAGAACAAAATTCCATGTTCGATGAGGATGATCAATTAGAGAGCTGTCAGCCACATGTGGCTATTTAAATGTAAAGTAATTAAAATGAAATTACATTTGTAAATTAAGGTCTTAAGCTGCATCAGCCCTATTTCAAGTGCCGACCTGCCACATGTGACTAGTGGCTACCACAGCGGACAGCACAGAGGGAAAGCATTGCCACCGTGGAGGAAGGTTCTACTGGACGTGGCTGTTAAAGAGCCACTGAGCTGAACAGAGACCGAGACCAAGATACAGCTCAGGAGGCAGGTGCGTAAGGCTGGGACGCAGGGTGAGCACAGGCGCAGAGGAAGCGTGAGCAGCATCTCCAAGCGCGGAAGCTCTGGGCTCCCTCCTAAGTTCTGGGGTTTTGCTGGTCCGGGATGCATTAGCTCATCACTACATAAAGTCACAGCCCAGTGACCCTGGCCCCATGATAGGCCTCAGCCCTAACGCCAGTAGCACAGCAACTAGAGATCCAAACGTCACGTCTCTGAGACACTGGAAAGAAATTTCCCCTAAATTCCTGCCCTTATCTCCATCTCAATTTTATTGCCAACTGGAAGTCATGACAGGCGTTTCCAGGACTTGAGTTTTATGAGCTGAAGAGAAAGCAGAGGGGAAACTGAACAATCAATGCTGCTGCCACCTCCTGCCCCCCCCCGTGGGGTTTGGAAGGGAGTGGAGTGGGGCAGCCAGACCTGACTCCAAGGGCCTCGCCAGGAGCCCACAGCAGCCAAGGCCTGGGTACTGCGGGCGCCATGCTCCAAGGGCCCTGACACACAGCCCCAGGCTTACCCCTCAGTTCCCCTTGTCTAGTTTCGGTGAAAACCTCAAGGTCTGAGAAGCCGGAAAAGCAGGTGTGGGCTTCTTCACTGTTGTAAGAGAACCAGTTTGAAAATCCCCTTCAACAAAGCCAGCCCCCACCAGGCAGGCAGGGTCCCCTGTCCCTCCTCTGGGCTGAGCCGGCACCCTGTGTAGACCTTTATCTCAGGACTGACACAGACCCTGAAATTCTCTTGTTTATGCCTGGTCTCCCATGGAGCCTGGGGGAAGGTACAGACCTGGCCAGAAGACGCGGGAGGGTGTCTGCGCTCTCACTGCTGCTTACCCTGCATTCTCACTGAGTTCATCCCACTAGGAAGCCACACACCCAGGATGCTAGGCCAGTAGCCTGTAAGCCCCCAAACTAGAGCAGTGGTTTTCACCCCTGAGCCTGTCAGAATCACCTGGAGGACTGGTTAAAACAGAAATTGCTGGTTGGTCTGGGGTGGGGCCTGAGAATTTGCATTGTGAACAAGCTCCCAGTCCTTGCAGATGCTACTGGTCTTGGACTCTGAAAACCACTGAACTGGAGGGAGTAGTTTGGATTAGGAATGAGAGGACCTGGATTCTGCTGCAATTCTGACAATTTCTAGCTCAATAGCCTCATGCAAATCACTCAGTCACTAGCCGCCTCAGTTTCCTCATCTGTTTGACCCATCTCAGGATTCATGTGAAAAACACACAGCTAAGAGATGTGAAAGTCATGTGTTAGTGGTAAAAATGCTCTGAATAAACATAAGAGAGTATGAGAATGGATGAAATAGATATGGGGGGGTGGTGACAGGAGTCACAGGTCAGACTGTGCAAGGCGGACAGAGGAAGGAGTGCGCCTGGCACGGAGCAAAAATGGTGCAAGAAATCAGAGGTCTGCTCTGCATGCTGCCGTCATCAGGCTCCGTAAACTGGGAGTTACCTCAGCACACTCAGGCTCTTTGCACTGCTGGCTGCTCTGCCTGGAACTCTCACAGTTATTTCCATGGTCACCTTCTCTTCAGTCAGGACTACTCAAAGACCATCTCCTCAGGAAGGCCTTTCCTGACCACCTCATTTTAAATTTCCCCTATCCCACAACCCCCAGTCCCTCCCAAACTCCTGAGCCTCCTAGAGTTTCCTCACAGCATCTCAACCTGGAAACTCATCGTTTCCTTTGCCTACTTTGTCATCTCCTGTAGCCCCCACTGGATGTAAGCTCCTAGAGTCAGGGGTTTGCTCGTGTTGTTCACACTGTGATATTTAATGAATACGTGCAGAAGCCTCAGTTTCCGTAACTAGAAGAGGAGACTGAGCCATGTGATCTGTAAGTTCCTCCTAGTCATAAAAATCGGAGCTATTCCAACTCAGAATCCTATGAGGGGAACACTCATCATCTCAAGTGACCCCCAAGGTATTTTTCTAAATATGTGGCATGAATCATGGATTCTGAATGTGAAAGCAAGAAGGAAGAAAAGCCCAGGTGTTCCTTGCCTTTCTCAGGCCCATGCTTGCCCGTCCCCTTCGGGGACCACTGACCAAGGACATGCACCTACCTGCTCTGGTCGGACTTGAGAGTTGACCAGAAGGTAGACAACTGAGTCAGACAGGCCAATGTTTTTCATGAGAAATAGTGTCAGTGTTTCTTCATCTTTTAGGACATCCAGGATTCGTATTCCTTTTCCTGTATATGAATGAGAAAAAAATCAGGGTGTTGAAGAGGAAGTAGGGCAAAAAAGTGAAAACAACTAAAATGGATTGGAAACATTTCTAAGTTGACTCTCAGAAGAAGGTTCTGTTCTTGGGTTCCCTAGGAGCACCTGGAGGTCGGAGGTCCTGCCAATAGGCTGCCACCAATAGTCACAACATTTACTGCTGACGCAGTTGGGTAAAATGTAATGAGAAGGCACTGCAGGTGGAAAAAGTTAGCTCAGGGAGGGGATAGGGTTGTCAGATACTTTGTGTGATTGGTCTAGGACAGTGGCTCTCAAGGAGATGGGGGTGAGGAACTAGAGCAGGGAAATTTTGTCCCCCTGGGAATATTTGGAAACATCTGGAGACATTTGGTTGTCACAACTGCGAAGGTGCTGGTTGGTAAAGACCAGGGATGCTGCTAACCAACCCACAATGCACAGGACAACAGCCTCCCCCCACAAAACAAAAACAAACAAACAAACAAACAAACAAACAAACAACCCAAAGAACTACCTGGTCCAAAATGCCAATAGTTTCAAGTTTGACAATTGTTAGTCTAGGATTAGAGGAAACACGTGCTCTATCCACAATGCACTTGTCATGGGGTATAGAATCCTTCTTCGTGTTTTTGTCATCTCGATTAAGGCTCAAAGCTCAAGGTACTGACATGGACTAAGAGAGATGAGGCTGTTTAGGGCAAGAAAAGCTTCAAGTGGGAAAGAGGGGGCAGCCTGTTGCCGGGCTTGCAATCTCTTCGCTGATCATCCCAGTCAGAGTCTCGAGTTCTACTCAAAACCTGCTAGAAGCAGAATTTCTTTACGGGAAGCATAAAGGACTGCTAGCAGTTTAGGTAACCTTGGGGCAAGTGCAAGCACTTTCCACATCTACCTCTGAGGATTGTTGTAGGGGTGACGGGATACAAGGAATACAAAGTGCTTAGCTCTCAGGCCTGCAAAGAGTGAGGACCCAATACATACTTGTTCTGACGGCACTGATGTTATTCTTACCCCTCCCCGGGGAGTCACCCCCGGGCCATCCACCTCCTCTGCTTGCTTCCAGGACCAGCACTGTTACAGTTCATGAGGCCAGAGAAGAAGGTCAGGCCCAGATGTTTATGAAACCATTTCAACATTAAGGGAAAGCATTTGGGTTGCATGAAAATGCCTACCTCTACATCCCAACTTCTCCTGGAGCCTTTTGTGTATCGCTTAGTTCTTCTTTAACTAAATTGAATCGTCAAATGCCCCTGATCCTTCTCCTCCCTCCCCAAATTCTTCCCTCACCGGGCAGCCCAGAGGCCCAGCCCCCCTGAGGGCTTAGCAGCTGTCCCTTCCCTTTGCAGGTTGTGCCTCTCCCTGTACAGTGCCTTGTCCAGATTGATGTTACTGCTAATTTCCTCTTGAAAGGGGGAAAGGGATCAACCACAGGCCTAGCCATGTAGCTAGAGCAGGGGCAACCTGTCCTGACGTCCACTGCACAGCCGCCTCTCTCTCCAGTATGGGTCCTTCAGAGTCACGCAATGGGGTAGCACAGGGTCACTACCCTTTGCATAGGAAAAGCCCAAAGGCCTTAGGGGAATCTGACATAGGAAGGAGCCCAAGGGACGGGGAGGGTTCTGAGAGAGGCTGCTCTATTTGATTCTTGCCTTCCCTCCTTTTCAATAATGTAAATCCTGCCATCTTCCAAGCTCAGCTTCTGCTCCCTCTCGTCCTTCCCCTGGGGCACCAGCTCAGTTGTTGTTCCTCCCAATCACTTCTTTATATACAGCATTATATTGTATACTCTAGCCTCCAGCAACGCCACACACACACACACACACACACACACACACACACACACACGTCTCTTGGGAGTAGAGCCTATGAATTCTACTTTTATTCATATCCCTTTTCATACCTAGCAATCAATCCTGGGCACACAGATATAAGCCCTTGAAGTCACCTCTTTCTGACACCCAAGGTCTCTAATGGAACCAGGGCCTCCATAAATGGAATGGCAGGAGGCACCCAATAAATACCTGCTGTCTTGACCTGAGAGTCAGGACCCCATTTGACTGTTTATCTTTTTGTTATTCTTTAACTCCCTCACCTGACCTTGGATACAAATACCTTGCTGGGGACAGGGACAAAATGAGGGAGACAGGGAGCTATCTTGCCCTGGTGTTGCACACTATCCTGCCCAGGTGATTGGGCCGCTGTGACCCCAGGCAGAAGGGGCAGGAGTGCTCCGATTCCACACACCTGCGGAGGGATGGGGGCCACCCTGTAGGGAGAGCGTGGGGCCCAAAATGGAAGAGGTGGCTGATACCAGACAGAGGCTTCGCTAGACTCTCAAGGGAGAAACGTGAACTGGGGGCCTGAGGAAAGAAAAATAAGTTTAGTTTAAAATGTGGTTCTTCTTGTTCTCTTCCCCGGGAAGATTAGAGGCTGGGGGAGGGAGCTGCTGAGGCCCATGGAGCTGAGAGGAATTGAGGCGGGAGGGAAGCCAGGAGAATGCGTGAGGCTTATGGGAAGAAGATGTTTAAAGACGACTGAGAGACCGGCAGAGCTTGCTTGTGGGTGAGAGGGGAGGGGGCTTCAAGTCTGTTTGTGACCATTAATCCTCCCCTGTTGAGAATGTTGTACGACAGGTTTGCCAGAAAGGCAACTGCTGCCTGGTCTACCATCAGCATACTTTCCCAGGTGACTGGGGAACTGACAGGCAAAAGTGCACACCAGTGACAGCCACCTGCCTCACTTCCAATGACTTAGCCATCCACTGTAGCTTTGGGCTGAGGATTCCATGTTCACAGCCAGCAATGTCCCCAGATGACACTGGGACAGAGTTTGAAATGAGTCTGCAGTGCTGACAGTGGACTTCAGTCCCCAGCCTGGGATTACTTCGTAGACTGTGTCCCAAACTTTATTTGGGGATGGTCCCATGTCCCTTCTGATGGCCATGAAGATCAGGGTTTCTGCATAGTCTCTAGTCCCATCCCGCAAATTCTTTTGGGAGCCTTAGCTCGCCTTCTCTGAACTGGTCTCCTCAGACTTCAGATGTCATTTAGGGATTTTTTTCCCTCAGGGCCTGAAGGCCTGCAAAAGGAACCACCTGTGTGCCAGTTCACTACTCATCCTGCTTTGGGCTTAAGAAGTAGTGATTTTGGTTCTCGTATACACACTGTAGAGACCACAGGGAAATTGTGGTTTGAAGTGACTTCCTTTACACTTCCTCCCAGCTGGACTCCATCTGATGATCAAACACCAAAATAAAATTTCTGCTAGATGAACAGGGTAGGCAATCACTCCAGGGGTTGGACAGCCATGTTCTCCTCTGCTGTTCCTTAGGTAAAAAATGCTTTATCTTTTTCCCCTTACTATTAAAATGCTACTTGAGCTAAGTAAACTCTTCTATCCAAAGCAGCAAAGAATGTATTGTTTGCAATTTGGTTTTACTGCATAAAATATACACTTTATTATTTTTGAAACAATTAGAATGTGATGAGGTAACCTTAACATCCCATCTGAACTCCTGGTCTTTATTGCTCCAATGGGTTGAGAAGGGAGAAGGTGGCCAATGTGAGGAGGATCATATCTCCTTACAGAGCTTTCCCCTGTGGACTCCCCTGAGCTCTTGAAGCTCCACTGGCCCTTTCCTCAACTGGGGGTGGTCACTGTTCACTCAGTCCTTCCACCCCTGCCCTGGCAGCAGGGCAGGCACATAGTCTGACGTGTCTCTGTGTCCCCAGGGACTAGCACAGTGCCTGGCTCAGTAGGCGCTTGCCAAACACCTGCTGAATATTGACTACGCTGTACAGGTGAGGCTCCCTGGGCTGATCGGTACCATTCTCCCGTCTTCCTTGTTTAAACCCCTAAGTAGGAGCTGTTCTATCCAGCCCCTCTAGTCCCCTTGGTAGGCCCCTTCCTTATCCCCGTCATCCTCTAAGTCCACCGCCAAGAGTCAATACCCCCCACCCCCACCCTAGGAGCAGACATCTCCCACCTCCAAACTGCTACCATCACAGACTCGGAGTCCCCTCCTCCCATGAACAATCTCCCCCACACCAGCAGACTTTTCTCTACCCCTGGACTGCAGTGATCCCAGGGTTCCAGGCAGGCTTTGCTCCCTCTGAGCCACTCATTTGCCCCTCCCAGGAGATGGGTTCCAGCTGGTGCCCAGGCGGCTATCGTGCCTAGTCCTTCTGGCCATCTGCAGAGGAGCCTACTGGGCATATGACAACAACACAACACCCACTTGTGCTTTAAGATGAGATGTCAGAGTGGTTACTGGGATTGGGTTTGTTTGTTTCTTGTGTTTCCCCTGGGGAGGAGAGACACCGAGGTTCCTCCCCACTGTTCCTGACCCCAGGCAGCTGCCCTACCCACACAACCTCAGGGTCCATGTGACCCATCCAGCTGGGCCTCTCACTTCCTTTGCTTCTTCATCAACTAAACACTTACCTCCTCTCCACTTCAGTCACCATGTCTACACCCCGGGGCTTGTCCTTGCCCTTTCTGTCTGCCTTTGAAATCCTGAATTCACACACTTCACTTTCTTTCCAAAACTGTCAATCCTTCCATCATGCTCATTTTCTTAGTCCTTAAACAGGGTCACAGAACCCCCTAAGACCTCCATTCCCCTGCTCCTCCATTTCTCCTGGGCCATTTCAGTACTTCTGGCTTCTCGTCCGTCCTTACGCATCCTGGACCTGATGTGTGTAATCCAATTGCCTCCCTCAACCCCCTTGCCTCCTGGCCCTTTTGTGGCACCTTCCCACATACCCCCGGGCCTGCATCCCCCCACTCTGCACCTGCTCTGCCTCAGGGCCTGGGATACTGAATAAACCTGAAAGAAATCAAACGATTGTACCTATTTATGTCGTGATAAACAGATGCTCTCTGACCTCCCTGAGTCCTTAGTGCTACTTGGCATTGCTTGTGCATGTTCCTGGTTAGCTCGCTCTCTAGGGCTCTGTGAAAGCTGTCTCACACATTTACCTTACTCCGTAAAACCCTCCTCCCCTACTTCCAGCACTTAACCCAGCCTCACACTTCCCAGAGCACAAGCTCTCCTGGCATGCCCCGTTCTGTCTCTGGCCTTACCTAGGGTGAGGGTAAGACCTTCCTAACTTTCTACCTTCTAGACTGACAGGAAGAGGAGTCCTCACCAAGGCTAGCCTCACACCACCTCTTGATCCCTTCCCTTCCTGCCTCCTCCAGGCTCTTTTCTCACCAAATCTCCCCGCTCTGTACCGTATCTTCAGTCTCTCTGATGTATGAAGCAGGTGAGAGGTAAGTGATGGCTGAGAACATCGAAGCCCACCTTACCTTCAATTCTGTTAGGATGAGTCCGGAGGGTGTCCATGACAAGAGACAAGGTGCGGAGTTCTGTCCAAACACGGCCAAGGTGCTGGCTCTCTGGGGCATCCACGAAGAGCTCTTGAAAATCTCGATATACCCTTGCCAAGCTGGAAGAAAGACAATGCCTCATCAATAAAGACATAGGGGGCTGTCATTTTCTTCTGCTTCATCATCATCATCCCACCTTGTGCGATTTTCTAAGATACCACCTGCTTTCTCTAGCTACTACATAATGTATTCTTACAATACTGCCGAGGCAAAAGGAGAAAGATATTTTTACTTCCTTGTACATATAAAATAACAAACAGGAGTGGTAAACAATTTGCTCAGTATTCCAACTTTGGCATGGCCAGGTCACCTCTCAACTCCATTCTCTAAGTGTCTGCTGTCCAGAGAAGCCTTAAACAGGTTGGTATTAGTAGATATGACTAGAGGTTCTTCCCAACCATCGCCAGCTTTACTGAGACCTGCCCTTCCAGCCATTCATAGGGGTAGGTTCTGACAGCCATACTTAATCCACAAATTCCTCCCTGCACGTGTACACACACCCACCTCTGCCAAGGCTGATTGGACAAAGAGAATGAAGCCAGGCCAACCAGATTTGTTCCCAGGAATTTAAATGATATTCAAGGATGCTCTTCTGATTGTCCAAGCCAAGGTGCTGTGAACTAGGCAGCCAGCACCAGACTGGGCATTGAGAAGCAGGGGACACTACTCCACGGAGAGAGGCAAATGGAGTGGATGTGCAGAGAGAGGCAGAGAGGGTGGACCTTCAGGCCAGATGGCAGAGAACAGCTCCTGACAGTTCTGCAGTTCTTGTCCTGCTCCTCCTGAGACCTGCCTTGCTGCCGTTGGCTTTGTGAAAAGGTATAGTTTCCAAATCATATATTTCACTCTGGGGCTTAAGCTTATTTAAATGGGCTTTTGTGCCTTGCAAGCAAAAGACACTTGAATAAGCCAATGTTTCACCTGTAATATGGATGTGTGAAACATGAAACCCAGGTTTCTTGGTTCAAATGCTGAGTATAACTGGAGTCTGAAGCCCCCCCCCTTCCCTAACTCTCACCCCTCAATCTACAGACACTGCCAGTGCTGGTCCTACCAAAGCTCCATCTAGCCTCCACAGAGATGTCTCCAAGGCTCCCCAGATTTCACCGTGCGACCTATGGGATCGCTCTAGATGGGTAGCTTAGATTTCTTGAATCTAAGAGATTCAAGCTGAAAGTGTAGATTGTAAGTTAAAGCCTTCAGGGAGTGTTTGCAGCCATGGGAGCTCAGCTAAAATGTCACCTCCCTGACTTTCCCAGGAAGACAGGTGTTCCCTCTACTACCTTCCTATAATCCAGGGGTCAGTAAACAGTTACATATTATAGGCTTGTGGGCTATCTAGTCTCTGTCACAATTACTCAGCTATGCCATTGTATGGCTAAAACAGCCACAGTTTGTTTCCAGTGGAGAAGGCTATCTCTGAGCATTAGGCTGACTTACTAAATTTTCTCTTTTTTTTTCAGCTGAAATTCAGTTTTATCCTGGAATTATATCCAGAGCTCCTCTAAGAAAAAATTGGAGTAACCAAATACCTTAGTTTTCATCTGACTTGGTGTTTATACAAGTAATGTGAAGTCTGCTCTCCACCAAGTCCTTGTGGGTGACCCGTGGGTGTATGTTTCACAAGCCCAAGCTCAGCCCAGTGGGTGAAGGACAACACTGTCCTCATCCCTGAGCCTCTGTCTATAGGACATGTTCTGCTCTGAAAGAAAATTTCAAAGGTAGACTCTCTTCCTATAAGACTAGGCTTGAAATTCGACCCCAGGCCAGTCAGTGGTCATTAACTTGGAGTCTACAAGTCCCCTGACATCAATATAATGGAGTGTGTGTGTGTGTGTGTGTGTGTGTGTGTTCAGTTTTATCAGCTTCTTGGAATGGTCTTCACCCCCACAGGTTAAGAACCACTGCTCTCCAGCCACGTCCTAAGGTTTTGTTGCCCAAGGGGACTGATGGTTCCTGTGAGAGAAAATTTGGAATTTGTTCTTTACTCCCAGGAAGAAAACTTCACCTTGTAAACCTGATTTCATTCACCCTCGAAATATTTTCTGCCATTTTTCTTAGCCTTTAGATGACCAAGAAGGCTTTTAAAGGAACAGAGATCTGTCAGGGTTGACTGGGGTGGAGTGATGTAAGACAATAGAAGGGGGACTGAGTTTTTCTCGGTCGGTGACTCCACCCAAGTAGATGGATGACCTGAAGGCAGTGGACACATCTCAGCAGAATGCAGCCATCAGACTTCAGGTCACATCTTAGAAATATAAGGACCAAGAAGTCGTGTCATGTGGTCTTAGTTTGAAACTCTCTCCCCAAGAGCCAATAGAAGGCTCCACAGAGAGGAAGCACACCCTGCTCCTATGATCTTAAGGGTTCAGCAAGCCACCGAAACATTCATCCAGCATTACATGCTCTGTGTGCCTGTGAGCTTCAACATATGACAAGAATAAAGGGGTGTACAACTTCCTCCCCCTTTTGGTGGGAATCTTAACGCTTACATGGAGTTGTTATAGTTGGACACAATTCCAGGAGATTCTCCCGGGGTGGGACTTTGAAAACAAGGATTGTTCACATTGCAGAAAATTCCCTGGAGCCACGGCAACATTCCTGCTGAGGGCATCGCCTTGTTGGGAAAATGGCCTTTAAGACAGGAAATGAAGACAAGGAGTTAGTCATCTAGACCAAGCAGGACACAGGCCCTAGGAGCTGGGGCCTCTGCAGGAAGAAGCCTGTAACTCTGGTGCTTTCCTTCATTTGTCAACATTTAAGAAGCAGGAGCATCTAATATATGTCAATTCCCTGCACTGAGTGCTAGAGACAGAGCCTCTTCTCTCAAGCTCACAGTGTACTGGGTGGGGGGGGGGGGGCAGACAAATGTTCTGATAGAGGCATAGATGGAAGTACAGAAGAAGAACAGAGTGAGAGCACATCATTTTATGGTCAGAGAGACGAAGGGATGTTAGCTCAAGAAGCCTCCATGAGTTGCTGACACTTGAGGAGAAGCGGTTCACCTATTCCTTCAACAACACCTACCCCCAAACAGGCAAGAAAGTTGCAGGTTATAGGCTCTTGGGGGCAGGGGGGGGTGGGGGGAGGGGGAAAAGAAGCAAGAATTTGATGGACAGGAGGACAGGAAGCTGACTCAGAACTTGGGGCTTAGAACTCATGAAGAAAAGGGTGAGGAGCAAGAATAGGGGACTGGGCAGCTTTGTATAACTCCTGAGGTCTCCACATCAGCTTCCTAGAGGAAGAAGATGTTACCCTGCCCACAAACCAGATAAAGATTTTCCCAGAGGGCTATAGTATAAACGAGGTACTCACATGCTCACTCTAAGTCCCAGGACAACTCTGGGGTCCAAAAAAACCCAACATTTTATTAAGTGTGATTGTATAGCAGCCCTTCTCGTCTTTCTCTAGCACCATGTATAACATATCCCTAAATTGGTCTCCAAAATATTTCACAGTTATCATCTATACTCTGCTCCCTTTAAAACTAGTAACAGCTTGGGCCGGCCGAGTGGCGCGATGGTTGAGAACTGGCTTGGGACGCCAGAGGGCCCCGGTTCTGATCCCACATATGAGGGCCAGTGACACTGCCCTCCACAGCTAAGATGCTGAACAACAGCTCAACCTGGAGCTGGGCTGCTGTGAGTCG